TTTTGCACCAAGTTTCATCAAAAACCGATGTATGGTTCTTGAGATAGCAGTGGAACAGACGGACACACATACACACACACACACCCACCCCCACACACACACACACACACACACACACACACACACACACACACACACACATACAGAAACACTAACTGCAAAGACTCCCATTGTGTGCTTTGCACATGGGGAGTCAAAAACTTGGTAGCAAAAATTGTGTCTAGTATTGAAAACAAGCAGTCAGATATAGATCCGCTGTACAGATAGACAGTTGAAAATAGCATATTTTATATTAAAATTAGAGAATTACAATTAGTCAAAAAATGAACAAGACTGTCAGGAGTTAACCTAAGGTTATATAAAATATCAAAGCAATTGGGCTAGCCATTTTCAAAAAGAAGTTGAAAATTTGTTACCAAAAATATTGGATAATACTACAATGATGCTCAATTGCATTTCAATAACATTTTGTTTGACAATATTGTTTAGTGTTTAATAGTCTTTTGTGTACTTTTCCAATAAAGCAATAATAGTTGACAGATTTTAGTTTATAAATAGAATGTTGTAATAATATATACATAAGTTTAAGCAACAGCATACTTGTATTCTTACAAAGGTTTAAAAACAGATGTGGCAGTGTTCAGGACTGATAACCATTCGCAATGAGTGTTGTAAGTACATAGACTTCTTAAAAATGTAAACAAGATAAAACTCACAATTTAGCTATTTGAAATTTCTGTTGTAAATATTCTACCAATTCAATGACGGATACCTTCTTCTCTATGGCACCTCCTCGCTGTGTGTCAAAGGTTTTCACAAACACCTGTAGAATCAGTCAGAGGACATACATCAGGAATCATTCCACAGTGATGAAAGAACATACATTTTTTTTTAGGAATACACAAATTTAAAATTTTTTTTTTACAATTCCTCTGGTGTGTAATTATTGTTTAAATAACAAGTTTTATTGTGTCTGGAACAGAAATTTTTTATACATACAGTGGCCCCTCGCTAAGTCGCGGGTGTTGGGATCCAAGCAAAAACCGCGACTTATCGAAGGCCGCGACTTACCGAGGGACGTCGTGAAAGAGGGAGGTCGTGCATTGAAAAACATATAAAAAGCACATATAAACCTTCGGTTCAGTTAATTGATGTATCATCACATGTGTCAGGCAGTATTCGAATAAAATCATGATTATGTTTGCTGTAAACATTGCGTTGATTATTTTGTTTGTGTCTGATATTATGTGGGCCGCTTGCTGTTGCTTGCGACTTCGACGGTAACAGCTTCCAAAATAAACCAGTTTCATCGCAATTATAAACATGTTTGTCAAAATAACCACCTTCATAGATACAATGTAATTTCTCTCAGTTTTTCGGGAAAAGTTCCGACA